AAAAGACACTGACCCAATTACTCTGAGCACAATATGCTTAAGAACTCCGATTTTATGCTGCAGTTTTCGGTGTAATACAGGTAACCTGATTAAGAAAATGTCCCCACCTTGGGGATAAGACAGACAAATCTCCTCTTAAAGGGTAAGATTCGTCAATGCCGAAGGCTAGATTTAAAGAATTATACCACAAGTATGGAGATTTTTAGCACGTCATCATCAGTTGGTGCGCTATTCAAATCACTCTTCGTCCATGGTCCGTCGTCCGTCATCTGCCGTCCGTCATTCATTCCGTCATATCGTCTGTACTTTAACAATTACTGTTCGTACTATTTCTCAGAAAGTGCTGAAGGGGTCGTGCTCAATTTTTCACGTGAATTTCCCGGTGGTCCCTAGTAACGTATTTCAAATTGGGTCTGATTGGAATTCACATGGCCGACAGGAGGCAATCTTGAAATTTTAGAGTTAAAATTTTCTAGCGCTTTCCCAGAGGGATATTTCTCAAATTCCATGTAAAGTTTACCCATTGTCCTTCTTTACGCATATCGATCTTAGGTGTGATCAGCAAGTCAAGATGTCGTACAGGCGGTCATCATGAACATTGAGAGTTCAAGTTTGTTAGCGCTATTTATCAGAAAGTACTGAAAGTATCTTCCTCAAACTCAATATGGAAGTTACTTTTGGTCTTTACTTGTGCATGCTTATATTTTTTACCTTTTCAGAAAAACGAAACGGCAACGCAGGGTGTGCCATCTTGTATATTGACTATGAAGATATTTTTATTTTCTGAGAAAGAACCGGAGGGATCTTCTTCGATTGTGATATGCAGGTTTCTCTTGGTCTATAACTATGCATGATTATTTTTGAGACTGATTGGAAGAACAAAATAGCTTATTTGTTGTCAATATTTCACAGACAGTGACAAAGGGATCTTTCTCAAATAGGATATGGTGGTTCGCCTTGGTCTAATTTGTGCATTTTTGAGACTGATTGGAAAACAACAAAATGGACGAGAAGCATCCATGATTTAATTTTACAATTAGGTATTCGCTATTGCTATTTCACTGAAAATTCTACAGTGAACTTTCTTATTAAATTTGATTTGTAAGTTTCCCGTTCTGTAGTTGTGCACATTTACTTTTGAGACTGATCAGATAAACAAAATTGCCTTGGATTTTAACAGAAAGGAACTGGAGGGATCCGTAAGAAATTGTATAGGTATGTTCCTCTTGGTCCCTTTTTAATAAATACCCTATATCCTAATGGGAATTCATTCCTTCTGTTACAAAACCTTTGTAAGAATCATAAATTTTAGCAGTTATGCAATTCTGATACAATAACATTTGTCATAGACAGTTGCAAAATGCAGACAGAATGACATAACCATGTTTTACCTATGGTCCTTAGTTACGCATATTTTATTTTGGGACTGAGTGATAAACCAAAATGGCCGACATATGACAAGGGGATCACTTTCTTACATTTCACATGTATTTCCTCATTATCATTTGTGATACTTATTGAATTTTAAATATTTGAATAATCGAGAAACCAAGATGGTGGAGAGGGGCCATTTTAATTTTTTAGAGTTTCAGTTTGTACTTTTGTCACTTCTAAGAAACTACTGTAGGGATCATTATCAAATTTCACATATAGGTTGTTCATGTTCTTTAGTTGTCCATGCTTAACCTTTATTATAATTGAAAATCAAATTTCCCAAATTTTAGAAGTAGGTTCCCTATCGTCCCTAGTGGTGCATCTAAGATTGTTGGATTTCTCCAAAAGTACTGACAGCCATTTCTCCAATTTCTAAGACGGTTTCCTTTGGTTGTTGGATGTGTGTTTTGAATTTTGGGATGTTGAAAATATGAGGGCCATCATGTGGCATCCTGGGTTTTGATTGTTGAATTGTGCTGTGGAGCTTTCTTAAAACGTACTTAAACGATTCTACGAAAATTTCACATGTATATTCCCCAAGAGCTTTTATGTGTATAGTGCATTTTGGAACTGATCACAAAACAAGATGGCAGACAGACGACTATTTTTGATTTTTGAGAGAATGGTACATTCAAGTACGAGGCGATCTGTTTCTAAAATACAAGCCTAAGAAATTAGTGAAACGTTT